CCTAGTACCTTGCAAGGTATGTTAAATAAGGCGATGTCTACCACAGAAGTAACCAGACATTTAGTGGATCTTGGACAAAAGGCAAATTTTACGTTTATGAAAAAAGCTGATCGTTTGATACCAAAGGATAAGGTGCATATAAATAGACGCTTTTAATGATAGGTTGAAATAATAGGTAGAATTTTAAAATTCAGAAATTGCTGAATGTTACAGTTACGCTTAAGCCTTTGGTCTTAACTTTTACCTACCGTAAGTTGAATTTGACAGAACATTCACATTCAACCTGGTGATTATTGAAATCTTTATTTATCTTCTATATATTTTAGCAATGGCTGGATAGTTTGACAGAGAACAGTAATTCCATCACTTCTATAGCGTCTGACTTTTTCAACGGTAGTAAGTGAATAATGTTTTATTTATAAAGTTAATATATAAAGAACAAATATTTCACAAATTAGTATTACTAGTAGATATTAGCATAAATCGTCTGCGTCCCGCGTATGATGTAGCTTCCCGTAGGTGAAAGTATTTTTAAAATCGATCCAGTGATTTGGGAACAAAAAAAAAATCAAATCTTTCCTCTTTTAAATTTTTACTCTTAAAGATAATTATTGTATATAGTTTTTATAGTTGTTTGTATAGTTTTTGTTTATAGTAAAAGTATATTGTAGGTATATACTTTTCAGACGTCTCATAAATAGGGTACATTTCAAAGTATATAGGGAAGGCCTTATTACTAAGCGCAGCTCTTCCACCCACCAACCCGTACTGAGCCCCAGTGATGGGTTAACGCCCATTCATCCTGTCTGATTTTATCCATGGGTAAGGCCTTTGTCGCAGCAATGCAGGTCCGTCTTAAGCACAACAGCCGCCCTGTTGCAAGCAGTGCTCTGGCAATCCCCCCCCCCTACATGGAATTTCCCGAAGATCATCGGTGCGGCGCCCCCCAAAGTGCGTTGCACCCCCTGCACCATGGGTAAAGACGGCCCTGCAGCAATGAAAACGTTAATATGCCGATGGTGAAGTGTTTTTCTAAGATTAAAAAAATATCACTAATTTAAGAAGGTATTTCAAGTGATTACGAAGATGATAATGAAATTAATCCTGACAATGATGAGCTGCATCCTAATAGATCCAATAGGTTAAAAAATCGAGGTCCTGGAGCGAATCTCGAAATGAATTCCGGCGGTCTGGTAACTTTCATGCAGGGGATAGTATCAGAATTAATTTTGTCAGTAAGTACGTGAAGTTTTTCTAATCGTTGACTCGCAAGTTCGAGTTTTTTAAAGCTTGATATTTATTATGTTGAAGTAGGTACTAATGATGTACATCACTTAGTACCCAGTGTGGTGGTTCGGTGCTGAATCACCTGGTTGTATAATGAAGAAGGGTAGACACGTTACAGGAGTTTCAAAATTATAAAAGTATTTAATATAACAAACTCAGCTTCAAAAGAGTTCTGTAATGGCTGAAATTGAATTGTTTCATCGTCGTAAAAGCATTTCCGAAGTTATTGCGAAAGTCAGCTCAGAGGTATTTCACCTGACTTCCGCACTGGGTACTGGATGATGTATACTTCTATATTCTGGCAAGCCACTATTCTTATTATAATATAAAATTACCTACATTTGATATTAAACTCTCATACATTGACAGTAGATTTCAAAATGATTTGGAACTGTAAAGGAACCTATATGTAGGTATATAGAATATTGGAACCTATATGTATAATTTTTATCTCACAAAATGATACATTTCCATATAAAATATTTATTTCAGATGACCGAAATACCTATGGAAAGAGACCTTACGGAGTAAATAGTATCGTTAAATCAATTATAAAAATAAAAACATTACGAGCTTCAAAAAATTTATTATAATATAAATACTCATTAGATAAAGTCACCTATACAAAATCGGAAATATATTTTTATGTACAAATAAATTACAATGTTTTCCCTAATTTTATTATTCTAATTCTAGACTTATTTTCTACAGGGATCGTAGATTAAATATACCAAAACAAGGCTAGTTTTATTATTTGTCCTTCGTTTGTTAGGAGGATAAAAAATGGAGAGTTACAACATGTAACTTATTTAAATAAATATTAACGAACTGTTTTACCATATTCGGATATTAATCTATTGATACATACAATTAGCTAGCATCAATTTATTCCTGCACTATATAGAAGAGGTGCAAAGTAGCGCCACTCTCATGGATCATAGTTTATCAGTCTATAAAAATAGTCATCTTCTTAGCTACGTTGTTTCGAAAATAAGATACTTGCAGCTGTGGCTCTGCAACAAGTACATGTTGGCAGCATCACAGAATCTCATTTATGTACGAAACCATGTAATTATTACTAACCTTATTTACTTATTATGACTTTTTGTTATGGATTTATAAATTGGTAAAAACAGGCATTCCCAAAGCCACGAGGTTGCCGCTGTTCTAGTGATGGACGTTGATGTTAAAGCTTGTATCGACATCGTGACGATACGCAGTTAACACGAGACAGCCTTCATAGAACCAAACGCTCGAGTTTATTTTTAAATAAATACGTTACATAAAGGAAATAACTTTTAAACGGTTTCATCGAGTTTGTATTGTTATGTAAAAAAAAATACAAATGCGATGAAACCCTTTAAAATTTGTTTCATTTATTTATTCATTACAAAAAAAGAATATAGGAAAGGATTTGTCCTTCCGTTCTTTGTACCTGTAGAAAATAAAATAAGAAAAATAACATAAGTATGCGTTCAGAAACGACTTAGTACACACACAAGAAGCGCCCATTTAGCATAGTACAGGTGTACTTAAGAAAGACAAATGGCTTCCGGATGTCGACACACGCTTTTATGATAAACCCATAATTATTTCATCGTACTAATCAGCTTTTACGATAACTAAATCTTATATATTTATTGGAGCAACATATACAAACTATAAATCAAAACAATTACAGTAACAGCTACCTAACATTACTGTGTACCCAAGACAGATAACAAAAGTTGAAGGTATTACACGTTCCAAAAAATTTCTAAAATTACAGTAAACAATTTTTTGACAAATTTAATTAGTAATAACATAGGTAATATCGACAGTACAAAAACCATATAGAACTTTTTATTTGTTCATTTTAACTCATAGTGTATCTTTCGTTTGTGCAAAGGAGACCTTCTCGACCCGTATAATGAATTAGGAGTCTTGTTTCAATAAAATAAGGTGAAAAATACAAACTCCGTCTGACTTCCTCAGACTCGGCGCGGTTCAGCTAGATGGCGCTACTTGAATATTTCTGATTGGCCGACATTTGACACTTTTCGTTTACTTGCTTATTTTATTGAAAAGCGATAACACTTCTCATGATTTATTTTGGTATATTGTGTACAATACAAACTAACTGCGGTAATAGTACGTAATACGTGGTACTTTCTGTCCCTAGATTGCAGGACAAGCACATTTAGTAAACAGTTTTATTTATAAACGCCATTAACAAATTGGTGAGCAAAGAATAAAGTAATAGTCAGCATATCAAGAATTTAATATTTTTTTAAGTTATAGCTATGTAAGTACCTAGAAAGAGTAATTTGAATGTAAAAAGTAAAGATATAATTAATTACTAAAAAGACACAATGTTTGAAAAGTCTGTTTGTTTACTACATGTTGTGCTAGTGCTGCCCCCTACGCCGAGCTTCGCGTAATATTCCCTATTAGGTAAACAGAAAAGCGTTACTAGAATGCTAATTTCAATATATGTATAACACATCACATATATAGCTATATTCTAAGCTAAGTAGCTAAAGCACTTTTTTTATTAAAGTCGGAAATATGGAAGGTAGTATAATATTGTATTATACTATAAGTAATAAATGGAGACACAATATAAAAGTTTATTCTGCAATGATTTTACTGGGACTAAAAGCTGAGGACTTGAAATCAGTGAGCATGTCAATGCAATTGTCCAAAGTGAAGATATTTATTTGGATATCCCTGTTATCTTATTTCCCACAATGGATGTCAACATTATATTTTTAAAAAAATCTTAAATATTTAATGTCTGACATCTGAAATTTGACACTATAACAATATTATTTAATAAAGCATATTATAAACATCATCATTGGTTACTCTATTTATTATACACACAACCTTCAATCTGAGAGGGATATTTACTACTCATACAAATTTACATAACACCTAAAGGTTTATTATATTTTTCTGAAAACAAAATGTCATGATTTTCATATTGCTAAAAAGAATTCAAAGAAACAAATTTTTCAGTAATTTTTCGTGCACTGGGGGACCTGACTTGGGAATGCAATCTCGTTCACGCGAGATCTCGGCCTCTTTTAGCGAGATTGATCTCGGTCGAAAAATGGGCGAGATCTCGCGAGTTTAACGAGATGACACTCGAGCATAAAAACGATTTATTCTAAGTGAAAGGTAAAAGGCGAAGTTTTACACTTTTATAGTACTTATGTTTTCGAAAGGGTCTTCTCAGTGACTGGTTATCTGGCCAGCACGATAATAACACGAATAGTAAAGATTATTTGGACATTTTGTGTTTCTTAAGAAGCTACTTTCAAAATTATTCGTAATAATGACGCGTGATGTGAATGGAATAAGTAAATTGATTGGTATATGTTGATAATTTATTCTCTAATTTCTCTCCAGAGATGCGTACCCAGGTACGCATAGTTTTCTTTCATTGATAATAATCTCAGTTTAATAGTCAATTCAACTTAGGTAATGAGTTAAATTTTAGTTTTTGTATTTTTTTTATAAAAATCTGTATATTATAATTAAACTTTTCTTTGTTATTAGCAGAGAAGACTGGTTGTTTATTTGATCTCGAAATTGGCGAGATCTCGCAGTATTGATATTCATAAACTCGCGAGATCTCGCTCGAGTCCCAATCTCGTAAAATTGCATTCCCTCGACCTGACAGTGCCTCTGATGTACAGATAATCTTCACAAATGATTTTTCATCCCAGGACAAATAGCACAGGCCCTCAAATGTCATGTTAATTCATATGAGTACTGGACTAAAGCAGTTATTGCCTTATGAAACTTTAGATACCACAAAAATCTATAACAATGAAAAAACGACACTTACATAAACCTCTCAAATATTCACAAAACCTATTATTGCGTTACATACAACAGAATATAAAATATCAACTACAATTCTTTACACAACATTATTAATGTAGTATGAGTGAAAATAAGTAATATTTTTATATGATTATGGAAACAGTGACCATACACACTCTGACTTAATGAGTACTATGCCACCAAGCAGCGCGACGAGCGTGGTGGCAATGAGTCGTCACGTGCGTGGTTTCAGTGGTGCTACTGAAACGCGCGTGCATGCGCACCGTCATTGAGTTGGTTTCAATGCTGCCATTTTTCTACCTCGCGCTCTCGCTTCCTGTCTTGATGTTGTATATTCAAACCATAATACATTTGGTATAAGTGTTGTGTCTCTTATCATTAACATCTCACATACTTTCCTGTGGAATAATAAATAAGACATGATAAAATTGTTTATTAAAGAAAAAGTTGAATACCTTAAAATTGTTTTATACTCACAATGAGACTAATTGCGGAAATAGAGGTGTAAATATCCTATGCACGATTATAAACCAAACAGTTGCAAATATGAAACCCACAAATCCACCAACCACTACCTGGTAGGTGGTGTGGTAGTGCAAGTAGACCCTTCCAATGCATACCAATGCTGCTAAGCTCATACAGCTTCCTACAATTATCACCCTCCATAGTGCTGATATTATACTGTTATTATTAATGTGATGTAACCTGTTTCAATAAAATGTACATTAAAACTAGGAAGTTTTAAATAACAGTGAACTTAATACTAAGTAGTATGTAATACTGAGAAATTTAATTGGTTGCATTTCTTTCTTATATTATGCAGATTATTGATCATTTCAATATACTGTGAAACAAATAACTCTCTGTGTTCCATATTATTTTTGTATAAATATATCTACATATAAAAATAATATGGAACTATATATATATATATATTTAATATATTCCATATTAAACAAACAGATTTATATAAATCTGAAACAGAATAGGGAATATGCGTCTGATTCAAAAAATGGTTAAATATATTTTATTACAATCGTTATTGCTTTAGAATAAAGTCTATCTAAATATTTTTCAACATTAGTTCGTTTTCGTCTTGAAAATAATTATTAAAAAGTGCGAAATAAATGCGGTAACTTCAAAATATTTAAACGCCATGCTACTTGTCAGAGCGGATGTGACGAAAATGTACACGTAAAGGGATGTCGTTGTTACAAAAAGTTAACATCGAAGCAATAACAACAATGTATTATGTCGCAAAATAAACAATTGATTACAATTCAAATGATGTTTTAGGCTATTATTTTTATTTCACCAATTAAGTAAATTATATAATTTATTAAAAAAGTCTATTATACTTTAAAAATCGATTAGTTGTTAATCGCTTTAGGTAATTGAATAATAATCAATCACTCAAAACCCATATTGATTAAAATGTCATATCTCTAGTCGTGTACTTTGACGTCACGACGAACGCGCCAAAAATTCCGGTGTTTAAACTGGTCATAGCTATTACTTATTTTCATCAATGATTAATGTTACAAAATTTTAGTTTTTCGATGCCGGGTATTTTTTTACAGTTATATATCGATGTAAATTATCATATAAAACCATTTTCCAAAAATGTGCATATTCCCTATTATAGTGGTTGACTCTAGAACACTACTACTAGGGGTGCTAGGGCATTTCACAAGATTAAATTCATTATTTATTCCACAGATCTTATATGCACATATCTATGAACAAATATGCCAGATTGATAGCCACATAATATAAGAGGCTAAACATGTTTTGCGATGTGCTGAAGCATCACAAAATAATTATAACTTTATGTTCAAGATAGTAGAGTTGATCTTGGTTGTGAAGCTACACAATTCCTAGATTACCACAATAAATTAGGCAAAAATATATATTTTATAATGAAAGAAAGGGGAGTGTTTGTTTTCATTACAATAGTTAAAAAATACTAATAAGTATTGCCAAGTGTATGAGCTTGGCAATTTGCATTTTAAATGGACTACAAATTAAAATTTGAATCAGTTCTTGTATTCTCTTTGAAGTTTGGTTAAGCTACCAAAATAATTGTGAAAAGATAGCTTTTTAAATTAAAAAAAATGATAAAATACAATGTGGCCATAATAAAATAAATATCATAGATTGGACACTATGATAACAATAAGTTACATTATTTTGTTGTATTGTCTATCTGTGTAATGTCTTCCACATTATGTACTAGGCATTTTAAAATTCAACAAACCACCTAGCCCTTTTGTTTATACTTATTTAAGAATACTTTTTATGAATACCTTCTTTCTAAAAATATCTATTGTGATTATTGTAACTCACCTAATTACAACAAAGTATAAAACATATATACTAAAAAACCAAACAAATTGAGCATGGGAGGAGGGCATTCCATATTCATTGTAGAGATGACCTCGTGCCAGAGGTCTAGATTCACATATTATGTGTTTCAAAACAATGTTGAGAACCTCATTTAATAATATACCACAAAAGAATGCTATCTGTAACAAAAATTATATATATTTACAAAATTGAGTTGTATTGTAAAAAATAAACACAATAAATAAAATATTATTGAAAAAAAAATCATTAAATAAATTCACTAAATAAAAACTCCTACTCTCTGAATTAACTCAAAATGAAGGAATAGTACATTACCGTATGCAAATCTCTTCGGAATAATATAAGTGCAATAAATCCAGCACCAATTCCAAATGGTGATAAACTTATGAAAGCTAAAAACTTTCCAATATAGTCATCTGTTGAAAAAAAAAATCTAAAATAAATATCAATAACACGAATATTATGAGAAAGTAATGACAATTCAAATAAAATACCTTTAGGATATTCTACTAATGTGAGGGCAAGTGGCTGCCACTCAATTTCACCATTCGGTATAACATCTTCAACGGATAACACTTTGTTTTCCATGATATTTTTCAGATTATAGTTTAGGTTTGTATTTGCAAGCTTACCATAGTCATTAAAATAATTAAAAAGTTTTAAAACCGCAAATATTAAAAACGCATCATTTTTTTTACCAGTTTATTGACAAATGAATGCGTCCCATTGAATGACACGCTATTGACATTGACAGTCATAGACTATACTCCGTTACCGTCAGTGTTGTATCAAACAATAGGGAATAAATGACATTGAAATATCGATTGCGATCCTAGTGTAATATCCCTATAAGGAAAAAGACGAATTAATCCTGTTCATGACAAACAACAGTAATTACTTTACAAATAAAATATATATTTTAGTGATTAAAAAATGCTTAAAAAATCCACTAGCTGAGGTAACCAATGTTTGTCAGTGTTGTTATGGATCTGATAACTCGGATAAATATAGAGTTGAAATTTAATTAGTTCGAGATATGCTAACGCAAATCGATTAATAAAAAATCTTTTAATTTTCTTTTTTTATTTGTATAGAGGAAAATGGAAACTAACATAATGGAAGTGAGCAGAGAGGTTTTTTTTAATTTATGGAAATCAATTGATTTAATGCTGTGATATAATTAAAAGTGGCATTTAGCTACGGTATAAAATAATATTACCGCCAAATAGTTTTTATAAATAAAATACTTATGCCATAGTAGGTCTAGGAATTTTTCATTACCTATAATATTTAATAAAAGTTCTGAAAACAATAACAACTGGGTAAGTTAGTTTTGTTGCAATTAGTTGTTTGTTCACTTACAACAATAAAACTACATCAACTCTTAATAATATTTTTATATTATGTATGGTGATTCTTACAATAATATTGTTAATAATAGATTGACTTCCTACCCTACCTACTCTAGGAATCGGTTTTATTGAAATATATTATTTACTAAGTACCTAGAGTAGTAATGCTCTCTTAAAAATCTCTGTGGAGGTGTCATGTGCGTTTGGACGTTACGTTCCCTCAAATATAGTATGTTGAGTTTTATAGTTACAGTTTTATATTCTTGTCAGTACACGACTTTCACAAATACTATGTAGCAGCCTAGACTGAATTGATTTTGAAATTACAAGCTGAACATACAAATACAAGCTGAATTCTGAGCTCCGCTTTTTGTTCTTCATTCCAAACCTGAATTAGGATGAAAGTTATGAGCAACCAATAAGTTGGCTCATCACTAATGTTGACGTATCAACCAAACATCGTTCCTTTACACGTAACATAATAAACAACTTAAACTTACGATTAAAATAAATTAAAATTAATTTGAAAGTCAGATATTATAAGAAACACAAAACGATGTCATATTTATTAAATTTCGATACTCAATTTACTTTTATTACGTCAGAAACAAATAATGAATATAATAAACAAAATCCAAATATCGCGAGTGACATCTAGTATGATTTCAAGAACTAATTTTTATTTTTTAAATACTTCCTCGTTGTTCTACCTGTTACAATATTATGTACTGTTCATTTACTTATGGTGTGTATAATAAAGAGTCTTTCATTCATTAATTACTTTTTTAAATAGATAAGTTGTTATAAATCAATTATCTGAGAAAACTATAAAAAAACTCGAAGTTAATCAGTAGATTATATAGTAAACAATAAAAAGCGAAAATATAAAAAGGAACAATAGGGAGTGAGAATTAGCGACGAAAAGCTAGTGGAATCCAAGCTGCTCAGTCTAGCCCATCGGCGTAATGTTGTCTGTATTTATAGGATGTACTACGGGGAGTGCTCATAGGAATTGCACGAGCTCATACCGCCTTCACCATTTTACTATAGGCAATCTAGACGCACGATGGGATATTAGGCTTACCCGTCTTTGGTGAAGTTCGCTTGAACTTAGACCATAGACGCTAGATTAAAACCTCAGAACAATAACTAAAGTAGTAGTAGTAATATTCTGAGGTTTAAAAAAAGGATCAAAGAGTAAACTAATAACTCGTTCTTTTACTCGTTCACTCTTTCTTTCGTTCATTTTACCTCACGTCGAAAAATTGGTTTGTCTTTTGTGAAAAAGTCTTCAAAATAAAGGGAGCGTTTTCTTTAAAGTTTGCCTATTTGAATTTTTAAATCAATAAAATGGCAGAGTCCGATGTAGTGGATTTGGATCTTACAATTGATGATTTAGTTCCAAAGAGTCCTGAAAGGTAATATAAAATTATTCAAAAAGTCATCAGTGTGAATAACTTAAGTAATTTTTAACTGTGGTTGGTTTGCACGTAGTTACAGTAATGTTATGTAGCCTCTGGTCCCTTAAAAGTCTTTAATTGGTTTATGAAAATGTTTCATAGAGTGCCTTGACATTTGACCTACATGCAGCAATACGTCTGTTTTGCTTTGTTTGTGTAGGTTGGTTTCATGGTATTAAAAGAATTGGGTTTATTGCCAAAATATCTAAGACAAATTTATATCCTATTAATATTATAAAGGCGAAAGTTTGTAAGTATGGATGTATGGATGTTTGTTACTCTTTCACGAAAAAACTACTGGACGGATTTGGATAAAACTTTACAGCAATATAGGTTATACATCAGAATAACACATAGGGTACTTTTTACTGGGAAAACTTCTCACTCCCACGGGATACCGACTTCCACGCGGACGAAGTCGCGGGCGTCCACTAGTGGTCAATACACCTACAGCTTAACAATGACTAATAAATGAGTTAAAATAGAATCTACATTAATTACAATAATTTCATATGCAGGCTCTTATCAAACACTATTAAATGTTAAGGCAATTAGTTTTTTCCTAAAAATGAAAATATAAATAATATTCTTAATGAAACATCCTTAAAAATTAATAAGAATATCAGAAAAAGAAGGTATGTCTTAATAACTATAGTATTCTAGAATAGTTTGTTAACATAACAACTCTATGATTGTGCACTTTAGATTGGCTGAAGAAAAAAAGGAAAGTGGAAACCATTTGTATAAATTCAAAAACTATAAGGGTGCCCTCACTATGTATGATGAAGCAATAAAACTGTGCCCAGAAAACGCTGCTTATTATGGAAACAGATCTGCTTGTTATATGATGTTGGGCATGTATAAAAAGGCTTTAGAAGATGCTCAGAAGGCAGTTGCACTGGACTCGACATTCACTAAAGGCTACATTCGAATGGCTAAATGTTGCATTGCGTTAGGTAAGGAAAACATGATACAGATAAAAATCTAAATAAAATTAATTAAATATTGTATATTTGATAATTATGGTTAGAATTGCTTCAATTGTTTCAATTTGAGTAACACATTATATAGCACAGTGGTTCTCAAACCTTTTTGGTGATGGTCAGTAGCGTAGCTAGGTAACCTAGGGCCCTGGGGCAAATAAAAAAATGGGGCCCACTGCTATCAAAACTGGTAAGGGTTTTTTTAATTTTTGTTTACTTTCTTCTCTTTCTTGGCGTTATTTGCGTTTAAATGCACTTATGGGTTTCTTTTTTTTTTTTGTCCATTATAATAGATTTCTAATTTATTTATGCAATATTTATGTAAGATTGTACTTAAGTAGGTACTCACTGTTCACTGACAACGTTACTAGTAAAAGGAAAGCGAAACGTAATGATACGATACAAGACGTCGTTGGGGAATCCTCGGCAAACATTTTATCGCCGCCAGTGTTACCACATTTGACAGTTTAAAAAATGTCAAAAAACATCACGCAATTAATGGACGGCCCCCTACGGTATTTTAGCATTGTAGCGACTGTATTTTGAGCTATATAGTGAGTAGCCGAAATCTATAGATTTTTTTACGTAACTATGTATACGTACTATAATCAAATAAAATTGAACTTTTGTATGGACCAGTACAAAAAATTTATTGACATACGCTTACTTACTACTGATACATTAACTTTTTAACATGCAGACATTGATATCCGACAAATTGATGAAAACATTAATGACACTGTCAACCCACACAAATAATTTAGAGGAATTCCCTTTTTATAACTTTGGAATTTCTCACAACTGAGTTGCCAAGATTTAACTCGAGTTGTCACCTGCCATATTTATTTTGAAAATGGGAGAAATTTTTAAAAGTTGAGTTCGATTGAGATTTTCTGGTAAAGATTCGAGGGCCCCCTGAGCTTGAGGGCCCCAGGGCACAGCCCCGTCTAGCCCCTTGGTAGCTACGCCACTGATGATGGTACACTTTTTAAAACTAGACATTTACATTGAACCCCTAAATAAAATGCAACCTAGTTTTATGTGTATTGTTTATTTAATTGAATGTATCCAATTAAATATACCACAAATACAGAAAATGCAAGTATGGAATGGCATTTAGTATAGGATTATAAGGGATGCTTTCCAATGTTACAAAGTAAAAGCAATATGTATGTTAAAATAAACTAGAATCAATCTTTATTGTCTGTTTAAACATCCGGTTTTTTAAAGATTTTATCAATGTCCCTTTAAATAGATAAACTGGATCGATAACTAAGTAGCTATAGCGTTCATAATATACCTTTTCTACAAAATATTTTATGAATGCAAATAATACAAAGAAAGAAAAATTACAAGGCATATAATTTGCCTTGAATGTGTCAAGCCAAGGCTCGTAATTAAATGACAATCCCTTTATGTTACCAATACTGATGCATCTGGGAATTAAGAGATTTTAACAGCAAATATAGAAATTTGGTTAAAAAACATTTACTTGTGAATAATGAAAATGCAATTAAGGAAACTGAAACTAAGGGTGGGTGAATATAAACTTTCACTCCTCTGGGGGTTGAATTTGTAAAAATCTAGTTTTCTTAGTGCTTATTTATGTCATGACAAGAACCCCTATACCAAATAATGGGTGTCTAGGTACATTTGTATATATATGTATAAACGTCAGTTAAGTTTGCCTTCTATTTTTAGGGATTTATTAGAAGTAAATGATACTATTTTGATTAAACTAGTTCAAAGTGGTATTTCTTTTACATTGGATTCAAGGTCTCTTGTATTATATTATGTGTATGCTTATGAACTCTGTCTGCTTAGGTGACTTGTCTGGTGGGGAGCAGGCAGTGAACCGTGCAAGTGAACTAGGCGGCGCGGATTGTGCGACAAGTGAAAGACGCGCTTTAGAGTCACTTCGCAAACTCCATGAGGAGGGACAGCGCGCTATGGAAGCAGGCGATTACCGCCGCGTAGTGTTTTGTATGGACCGTTGCCTCGACTACAGCCCATCTTGCTCCAAGTTAGTATCATTGAAACTTATTATAAATTATTTTTTTATTTGCTTTTCGGCAGCTGCTTGGACCTTGTAGTCCTCTTTATTATGCGTAGGTATAAACTTTTGTCTTAAATTACTGTTTATTGATGTAAACCACACAAAAAACTGTTGTGTAGTTATAAGGTCTTAGTGTAAAGATAGTGGGAAGCAACTTTATTTTATAGTGTGTATTGATTTGCATCCTGATGATAATAAACTAGGAAAATATAATTTACTTAATTTTATTGTTATTCTTTTTATTTCTTTAACTTGTTTCATTTTTATGATATAACTCTGTTTTACTGTATTTGTGAATTTTAAACCTTTGATTCCTCAAATATGATTCTATAGTTTCAGTAAAATTTTGGGGTTTTCCTTTCAGGCTATTATTTAACCTACATATTATATCTTATAACTAGAAATTTTAATAATTTCACTTCAACCATATCTCTATAAAAACATTTATGATTTGATAAAGAATTAAGATAAAGAAAACCTGTGAATACTCAGAACCACACATGTTAATAATGTTTTAATTATTCAATATCTTTTTATGGGACAACATTTCAGTTTAATAGATACTCAAGATTTTTATAATAAATAAAAAATAAACTGTGTAAATTAGTTACTATTTCATCATGTCATGCAAATCTAGAAATGTTTAGTCATTATTATTTTTTTTATATTTAGTCCCTATTTCACAAGTTATGGTATGTTTTAAATACATTTTCTAAATATACTTGCTATGAATCAATATATCTATCTATATATATAACTCAAAGGTGACTGACTGACAGTGATCTATCAACGCATAGCCCAAACCACTGGATGGATCAGGCTGAAATTTGGCATGCAGGTAGATGTTATGACGTAGGCAATCGCTAAGAAAGGATTTTGATCAATTCTACCCCAAGGGGATAAAATATGGGATGATAGTTTGTATGAAACTTTGTCAATTTCAAACTGATCGGGCTGAGACTTTGCATGCATAAAGCAACTATGACGTAGGCATCTCCTAAGAAAAGATTTTGACAAATTCCACCCCTAAGGGATTTTACACGATATAATGAATAAATAAATATTCGTTAGAAAAGCTGCTCAAAGTAACTTTACTAGGCGGCCGAAGTCGCGGGCAAAAGCTAGTACAATTTAGAAGAAAAGTTTAGAGTTGAGGATACAGTTTTTTACCAATAATTCATACTTTGAACCTCTATAACCCATACTATAATATTATAAAGGCGATAATAACTCCGTCTCTTAGTGTGTCTGTTACTTTGTTATAACTAACATATTAATGAAATTTAGTACACAGACTTAGAGGTTAAAAGGGGCGATAAAAAACCGAATTCTCTGTTGGCGTTTTGCGGTTTGGCGGCGAAGCAAAATTTCGCACTAAGACGCCTTTATTGGTCCTTTGTATGTGAAAAAATCCATATAAGCAATTTTTTTACATATGAATGTTTGTGTGCTATTATTAATTATTATTGTTTTTGTCTAATAAAATCTATTTATGATCATTGAATTCTTAGAAATTAATTCCCATAAAGTTCAAAATTCTTTCGATTTCAGTTCATGTATACTATAAGGGATACATGAACGTTACCATAAGTAATAAACTAGCCATTGTTTGCATGTTTATTACCTGAGTTAATGGCTATATCTGCATTATACTTCATATTACGTTTCAGGGCGAAGCTCAAAAAAGCCGAATGTTTGGCATTATTGGGGCGTTGTCAGGAAGCACAGGAAATCGCAAATGACTCTTTGAGATTTAATAGTCTCGATGCTGAGGCCATTTATGTGCGAGGTCTCTGCCTTTATTTTGAGGTTTGTCACTATTTTATATCCTAATTTCTTTAAATATTGAATCCTATTATATTTCTATAAACATTTGTGTCACAGTTTAAGTTACCTCCCTCCTCAGAAATGGCTTGACTGATTTTGATGAAATATGTAGTAGGTCTGAGTAGGTTGTTATCTATTTTATTCGGCTAAGTGAAGAGTGCAAAACAATGTGCCCGGTCAACTACTTTTATATATATCATTCTTACCCTATAATTTTCAGGACAAAGATGAACAAGCTTTTAAACATTTCCAACAAGTGTTACGACTTGCACCAGACCATAAAAAAGCTATAGAAACATACAAAAGAGCTAAACTTCTCAAACAAAAGAAGGAAGAAGGTATGTAATCAGCAACTTTATACATGCAATAATATTAATAACTAGCTTTCCGAATAAGCGGATCCGCCCGCGTTTTCTCTTGTATTATTCATATAAATCTCTTAAATCACTATCAGTTGTTAAAAATTGGATAATAATGTGTTGTGTAGTTTAATAAACTCAGCATATAAACAGCGGGAAGTGCTTAGTTTTTATATACCAGATAAGTGTTTAATTTTAATTAGGTTCCGTACCTAAAAGTATGAACCAGAAACTATTATTTAGGGAATACCCCCCCTATCTGTCTGTCACCAGGCTGTATCTTTTAGATATTTACATTCTATCTCATGAACCTGGATAGAGAGACAGTCGAAATTTGCACAGATGATCTGTTTTTGTTGCAGCTATAACAATAAATACTATAAAATATAAATCGGAATAAAATAAATATTTAAGAAAACAAAAGTGGTTTTTTTCTTTTGTTTATTTTTCATATAGGTCACTTGGTTAATTTTGTATTGTAATTGACAGGTAATGAAGCATTCAAAATGGGAAGATGGCAGCAGGCTCTCATTCTGTACAATGAAGCACTTACGGTAGATAAGAATAACAAAACTGTGAACGCTAAATTATATTTTAATAAGGCTACTGTTTGTGCTAAACTTAATCAGATCAAAGAAGCGGCAGACGCTTGCACTGCTGCCCTCGAGTTGGATGAAAACTATGTTAAAGCTTTACTAAGGCGCGCCAAGTGTTACACGGAGCTCGGGGAACATGAAGAAGCAGTTAAAGACTATGAAAAACTATTCAAAATTGACAAAAGTAAAGAGAACAAACAGTTGCTGCATGAAGCTAAATTGGCACTCAAGCGGTCGAAACGTAAAGATTATTATAAAATCCTCGGAGTAGATAAGTCTGCGTCAGAAGATGATATCAAAAAGGCTTACAGGTAATTTCTTAACATGATTTTTAGAACAAATTAATGTAAATTAACATAGTAGAATTGAATCATGACAAACTTCAAGAATAATTTGGTCTAATTACCTATTATTTTTCATTAATTTTGCATTCACAATGCTGTACTGAAAATTGCTTCATTAAAGAAATGGGTTCAGAGTGATTATTTAGGCATTTTACATTAAGAATATTTTCAGTACATATAGCATTGTTAGTGCAAAATTGATTGTGAAAACAAATTTTCATTTTTATGGAAAGTTTAAATATTTGTAAAAATATTTTCTTTCGGCTGTTAAGGTAGTAGCGTATTCTCATTAATGTTCAGGCAACATTAATGGCAATACGCTCTTAAGAAGCGAAAAAGGAACAAGTGCTTGAAAGATTTGTAAGTCAGTGGTTAGAACAGTCACCCGGATTGCAAAAGGTCATTGAGTTCGAGTATACGAAGTAGATTATTTAAGTATTTTTCATTAAGAATAATTGGTCCAACATAGCCTATAAGGTATAATAACAAAAATAAAAATGGGTTTGCATTCCAAATGCTATACCAGGACTATAATTCATGAAACAGGTAGAATTAAATATCTCGCACAAAAGATATCGGGATACAGGCCACATCAGTTGTTGCAATTGTCTGCCTGTCTTTGATAATAATAATAATAAATGAGTTGACGTGATTGGTGAGATCTCTGTTGTTTCATATTTAATATTACTTGTGGTCTAAATAACAAATAGTGCATTAAATATCTATACTAATATTATAAACCCGAAGAGTTTGTTTGTTTGAACGCGCTAATCTCAGGAACTACTGGTTCGAATTGAAAAAATATTTTTGTGTTGAATAGACCATTTATCGAGGAAGGCTTTAGGCTATATAACATCACGCTGCAACTATTAGGAGCGAAGAGATAATGTAAAACGCGGACGAAGTCGCTGGTGGCCACTAATATTAGATAAACTGTTTCTTACATCAGTATCAATGTAGAAAATGGTATTTTATATATTGTCTCCGAGTCTCTGGTGGTATGTTTGTTGTCTTACATACTCCATAATACGAGAACTATAGCTACTCATTTCGGAATTTGAGCAATCTGTGTAATGGTGTCGATTACATATTATGTCACGCTAGTGGAGATGATTCTACTCTAGACTACTTACTCTTGTCGGTTTTATTTCATTATACCTATACTTATGTATATAAGTTTATTTATCAGTGAGCTTGTTTGACTTAGCAAGTGATTAGATGGACAAGTATAATATATATTATGTTTAACTTTTTTTATATTTTGTAATGGAAAGTGACTTCATATTTTAATGAAGTCATTTTAAAATATTGACAACTCCGTATGAAATAATATGGGGTGAAAAAAACAGACCTTGCTGATTCTTCTCCATATAAAGTTGTTGTAAGAGGAACGAACCGATGCCATAGTTGGTAGGTGTTTGGCCAAATTTTTTAAGGCTGGCTAAAAAACACACAACAGCCTAGACTGTATATAAATGATTTTGATTTAATTTAAAGGAAGCGTGCACTGGTACATCATCCTGATCGTCACGCCGGTGCTTCGGACAATGAGCGTCGTGAGCAGGAAAAGCGGTTCAAAGAAGTGGGTGAAGCGTACGGTATCCTCAGCGATCCGAAGAAACGTGCCCGCTACGACCATGGACAGGACCTCGACGAAGACTCTTCCGGGATGGCAGGTCCGTCCAAACGATACACTCGAAACCCACCATATAAGTACGAATCATGGTACTCCTGATAAGGGTTTCATTTGAATATAAACACTCCTTTGATGATAGTGCACCGAACCATAGACCATCAACCTTTTGAAATTGACTACTTGACTATTTAGGGAAAAGTATTTTGTAAATTTTTATGTACTATGAGATTTATTTTTCTCCAAAAAGTGTTATTAAATAAAGGAAAAGTATATTATTATTCATGAATTTAAGTTGTCATGCTATATTTTGAGTAGTGACGTCACATTTCAATTTGAGTCTTGCAATGAAGACTAAAAGTTAGTTTATTAAAATATGATGTTACATGATGCTCCGTTATTTTCGGTTTCGGTTGGTAGTCCACAGATTAGAAACTGTAAATTAATTTTGCAAAAATAAAATATACTTACAATTTATTTTAAAAGTAGTTAACTTGATGTAACCAACAACTATGTTGTTTACATATAAGTTCCCATTTCCGTCATATGTATTCAATAGATTATTGTTATAATTGTCAAGTAGCTAATTGTAACCAGAGGCGGGTTAAAGACGACGGCACCCTAGAATTCTCTAGCGATTCTCTAACAATTGGTGATGGAACTCTTTTAGAAACCAAATATGGAGCCCTAAAACAAAACCTACTTTTATTTGTACTGTTGATTGATGAATCATATACATCTTTTACTTTAAGTCTGATCATTTGCAAATATGAATAATATTTTAGTGGCTCCCCAAACTGCTTCACGGGTGCGCTTTTAGAAACGTTGGCCTTGGCCAGTGCCTAATCATACAACAGAAAAAAATAACTGTGTTATAACTGATCTCATTATTTCATTTTCTGATAAGATTTACGCAAACTGTTAATATGACTACTGACAAGCAAATACGGTATCGGCTTTACAGTATGAGTTTTCTTGTTCTTATAAAAGTATAAGATTTTGGAATTTGCTGAAGTGCTGCTGCAGATCAACATATACATGGAATCCCATTGGCTACCTTTAATTTTATATTATTTGTTTGCTTTCAGATATCGACCCTAACGTCGTGTTCCAAACATTCTTCAACCGCGGCGGTCATCACTTCGGATTCCATCAGGACGCTGGTTACCCTGGAACAGCTTTTAGCTTCCAGTTTGGCTAAACATTATCACTTATATTCAAAAATAAAAGCAAAAATAATTGATTTTATTATAGTATAAAATAGCTCCCAATTAATAATATTATTCGGTTTCATAATATTCGAATTGCAGAATGTTATACAAATTTGAAATAATTGGACGAATATTCTAGACGAAAATAATATCATTGATATCTTTTAGATTTTGAAAGAAAAAAAATGGATATAAAAAATAAAATTAATTCTCTATGCGACTAATAAGATCGAATATAACACTTCGATAAATAGTTACATAACTTTGGAAGCTCACAAACATTCTGTGATTTGATATTACTATTATGTAAATAAAAGAACTGTCATTCCATACTAAATATTATATGTAGTCATGATATGGAAGCTATTAATATTGACAACGATAAAACGTTTAACAAAATACCTCTAACATCACTGCTGTATATCATTATAATATGAAGATTTATAATGAGAGAATAATATTAGATTGCACTAGCCTTAAATAATATTGTTAAACGTGACCGACGCGTGAATGATTTAAATCCGGTTTCCTCCTGTTCAAAATATTATAATTAACTCTTTCGTCAATGCCTCTTTCGATGGCGGAAGATGGTTGTGAAGCAACACTATTTATTCACTACATATTTCATGTAGGTATTTTTTAAGGTTAACTTAAAAACTTACAGTCAAAAGTTCCAAATAATGTGACGCATAGTGATACTTCGCATACGCAGAGCCCACCTATGACCGAACATACGATTAAAATTAATAGTGAGCCTTGATACAATAAACATTAGGTATAGAATCGCATGCAATAGGTATATGTGAAGTAATAATGACTGCGGTTCGTTTAGCCTTCTGCACAGGTACATCACTGAGCCACACCAGTTTTATCTTAGGGTACTTACACATAACTGCGAATTCGCATCGCATTTTAAATACCTGCAAGCACGTACGAATGTACCGCAAGAACTTCTATCTGATTATAATTTCTGTTGATTCGCAATACGCTTTCCTGCGATATTACATCACACTTGGTTACGACATTTCCGCTCTAAGGAAAAGCTCTTCAAATGACGATATGCTAATTTTAAGATAGTAAAAAATACTTTTTTCTTGTATATTTGACAATAACATCAGACCAATTATTTATTTCGCTCCATGTTACTATTTCTTAAAATACGTCCTATACGGTTGACTATCGTTGTAGGTATAGCCAACAGAACCATTTTTTGCTGCATGAAATCGTAACGCAGTAATACGCATCGCAAGCTCCTGCTATGCGGCGTCGTGTCGCATCGTATCGCGGTCATGTGTGGGAACCCTTACTATACCAGATAATAACGAACATTTCGAACTTAAGTGAATAATACTAAAGTTATAAATCAATATAGGATATTTGAGTTTTATTAGTGCAAAACATATCGCCAAGAAAGTTCATTATTTTTGATAAAAATCATTAAATTAGAACATTAATGCCATTTATCGACGATAAACACTTAAAGAAGCAGAAACATCACCTTTAAAAGACTGATCACGGGAACTGAAAAAATAAAGATACCGTGAAGACATCAGCACCAATAATAAACCTTGAGATCCTGCCAGTAGGAAAGGTCCGTGAGCAGGAGGAAATTGCGGTGGTAATATTGTATGGTTATAATATTGGGCCGCCTTATTGTAATCTAAAATATTCTGGTGAAAATGCATAATACCTTATTTTGTAGTTATTGTAACATTGACTGATTTGGTTAAGTAAATTTAATTTTCATTCACTACTTGTGTATGATGTGTGTATTATGATACATTTCTATAGCGGTGAAGCTGATTTCTTGTCATAATAAAAATATAACAAACATTAATAAGATATCGACTAAACTTAACTGTTAATCATTTAACATTGTATAATATCAATATATATAAACAGTGGTGTCGTATGGAAACTTAAAAATTTGTATAGTTTGATTTCAGTAATTCAATAAATGTTCAAATAGATTGTTGTTATTTTGTGTCTTATTATACACATTGGATTTGTGTGAAAACCTATTCGCGTAAGTAGCTAGATAAGAGAATTTAGGAAGATAACTGTTAATTTAATTATGTAAAAAAAATATATTTGGACATTAACACAATCTGATTGAGTAAAAAATGTCTACTAAGCTACCATTTCGTTTTGAAGAATTATAAATATAATACAAAAGTAACATGTTTGCTGTCATGGAAAGGGTATTTTTTGCATTTTCGAATTTCATAAACATTATGTAAGTAGGTGAACGTAGAGACATTTTAGTTATAAGAAAATAAAATTAGAATTTATACTTAATTTCTTTAAATATTCTTAACATTTACATTGATAGTAGTTTCTAGTATCACAAGTTTTCGCAACATGTTTCTATTTTGTGTGAAAAAAGAAATTTTTCTTGTCTTATCGACTGGTAACAGTTTTAGTTGATACTAAAATAAAAATTTCACGACTTATACTGAGTTTTATCTCGCATATAAAAATACTTTTCATATTATAGGTATTACTCGTACGAATTAACATGATACCCAAAGGCCTATTTCTCCGAAAACGAATTTCATGTATTTTCATGCTAATCGCCAAAACTCGTTTTTCGATAAACTATGATGCAACGAAGGTAGAATATGACACCACCTCCCACAGAGCCAAGATAATCTTCACGGTTTCAAATGTTTTTGAAATTCCGAGGGCGAATAGAATAAACCATCAGGTCATACATGGTTAGGTAGATATGTGATAGTGCGAACTAGCTTTAATATACATATACTTTCACACTTGCTATAGAGTTCAAATGCTTCAACAAAATATACAAGTGATAATATCGAGCCTTTTCAGGAAAAAACTTCGTAAGCGCCAAAAATGTTTTTTTTCCTTAGATTTAGAAGTCAAAAGTTGTTTAAAATTAATTTTTATGGACATTAAAAGATTTCATTGGAAGTACAAAAGTGGAAGTTTTGTCGCTTGCGATAGAAATTGAATTTTGGTTTTAGTTATTATTACCACATTTCAATGTTCATTAAAATTGGATATTGTTTTAGTTTTATTATTGAAACCATAGAAACATTCTTATATTTTAATGAATGTAGCATTTCATAGTGGATTAAAACGCACTTATACCCCTACAAGTGAAATTTCTCAAACAAATCGAACCGTGTTTTAAATTTAAAAGCTAATTCACCCTTGGTATGAATTCGATAGATAGACTTCCGTTGTGAATATTTAGGAAATCGAAGATCTAGTCCTATAACGTTAACAAATGAAATTGGATTACGTATTATTTTATATATGCATAGTATCATCGACGGTTGAAAGACTAATTAATCACCCTGGCATTTTTTAGATATTAAGTTATATATATATATTAATATATTATATCAACATATTTGAAATTTGTTAAATTATAATAGTTTGATAAAAAATGCTTCATAAATTAGTTGGATTACTGGATATTATTAAAGCAACATCTAAGAGGTCCAAAAGCTTTACGTTAGTTAGTAGTGTCCAAAAGGCCTATATCTAACTCAACACTTGATCATTATCGAAAAAATAAACAATACAAACACTAACTAGATATATCGCAAATGAATGATAGCGGGAATACACAATCGGATCGGAGGACCACAATCATGATCGGAGACAGGAATAAACATTTCATTAACGTTTCTTGTAGTATCTTCAAACATTTTTGTAGGTCTTTATTTTTTTATTACTTAGTTGAGACGAATGTTTCCAGTTAATTGGATGTGCGGAAAATCGGAATTCTACTGTTAAAAAACAAATATGTAAACTCATTATATTTTGCATCTTCCTTTTATGGATACTTTTACAGCGTAGTGATTAACGGGGTGGCCTTTCGACATGCAGGCCCGGATCTACGATTCCTATTAACCGGGGCAGAAACTTTGTATGACGCCCTTTCTGTACCCCCTACGTTCCATGAGGCCAGATTTTTAACACATTTCAAAATTTAACAAGAGAAGGTAATGTATTGTTATTTTTTTTGTGTTCACCGAAATTTCCGCAAATGTTACCCGATTTTGAAAAATATTTATTCGACAGCTTAAAGGACCGAGGTGGTCTGGTCCCATTTTAATTTTTATCGAAATCTAATCAGTTTTCCTTTATCACAAAACAAAATACGTTTTTCACTGTTATAACACCTAAATATTTAAACTAAAAGATTTCGTATTTTGAATTAATTAAAAATCCGAAAAATTTTCTAAGTTCAAGGGGTATGTATATTTTTTTTATGAAAATAGGTATGTCAATCGATTTCTTCAAACTAGCTGTTTCCCCGCGACTTCGCCTGCGTAAATTATAGCCTATATAATTATGTAGAATAGACTTAGAAATCGGTCCAATTTTCGGAGCCTATCCAATGCAAACAATCAAGAAATCAAATCTTTTCTCTTTATGAGTATAGAATTATTGGAAACACAATCTTTTCTAAGACTTTCGCTATGTTGAATATTTTTATGTACATAGATCTATACTAATATTATAAAAAAGAAAGATTTGATTGTTTGAAACGAATAGACACCGAAAATACTGGACCGATTTTAAAAATTCTTTCACCTGCGGGAAACTACATCATATGCGGCGAACATAAGTTATATTATATCCTGAAATAAGGACAATTTGTATAGGGAATTTAAACGTTACCATAGTTTATTATTGAATTGATCATTGTAATTATATCTGTGTCATATGAATCGATATTAAAATAAACCAGTTCCTTAGGGACCATGCAGGCGAAGCCGATGACTGAAAGCTAGTACTTTTAATGTTACCCGTTAACCAACTTAAAAAAGGCGTTTCTGCATGCATGTATGTATGTACGTTTGTGTGCGATTATCTCGCGTTTAGCTGATCCGATTTTGATATAGTCAGCATAGTATCTGTCAGACTTAGAAGGTTTTAGGTATATTAACAGACTAAAAAAAGGAGTTCCCACTTTAACACGATTTTGACGTGGTTTTCAGAAAAGCATTTTTAATATTATATTTATATAAATGAAATTATTATATAAAATCAATATCACTAATGAATTAACAACTTTCTTTTTATAAAAGATAGAACCGATTTCAAACTTAAAAAGTGAAAATAATACTTTTTTTTTACGACAGTTCTATTTTTTTAATAGTTTTTAAGCTGTATTTTAATGTGTCATATAAAATAATCTAAGTTTCAAGTATAGACGTATAAATTGACTAACACGAGTTATAAAACACCATCATAGGAACCAAACAAATATATAGTCTGGTAAATGAAACAAATCGATATATATATAATTTATTATTCCTACCAGCAGAGTATCATGAAATATTGGGAACTCACTGTGTGACATCGGGAGTTCATTAGTAAATAAGTTATTACTTGACTATTTGGAATTTTCTTTCTTTGCAGTTTTTTCAAAGTCCATTGCTTTATCATTTGCTGGCCGTTTATTTTCAGTCTTACTTCCCACTCCCTCAAATCTAAAAGGTAGGTACAATGTTGTTTGTGACATATATGCTTTTACGTGGAGGCATAAAAGAAGTTTTTATTATATAAAGACTTATGTTGGCAAATCAGGGCTTTTCTCCTCTTCATTTGTAGATTAATATAGGTACTACTACGTATACCTACTACGGACAGCGTGACATCATACATTTCTCAGATAACAAGTAGAAATAGTTTAATAATCCTATAGTAAAATCCGGGACACTGAAAATGCTACAACTCGAGTCCTGAGAAAATATAGAAAAGTTCCTTTTTTACCAGGACTCGAACCCAGGATCTCAAAGATGGCGACACTTAACGACTACGCGGGAGACAGAAAACGCTGGATCTTTGAAAACGATCCACGCGTAACAGTTTGCTTTACGAGTCCTATTTACAAATAGGTATAAACAAACTCGCGCAATACTGAGCTAATTATTATTCGAATACTAAAAGACTAATTAAAGAAAAATAGTAAAAGAGAACTTGTAAACACCACATTACAAAAGTACAAATTTCTACAAGCTATTTCATTCAAAAAAAAGATGGTAGAAATGTGGCTTTGTGTGTGATAAATAACTATAAAAGCATATAGTCAGATCTGGCCCGTCCATATAGGCAAACTTAGCAACTGTCTAGGGTACTCGTTTGGGGGCGGCATGACACGACAAACAAGATTATTTGAACCTTAAAAATGCAGATTGAAAACATAAATGACTTGCTAATATACAGTCTATGACTGCGGTATTCAAAGTAAATACACATTAGGGGTTAAGTATGAAATTGCCGTTTTATTGTAATAGGTTCCTTGAATTGACATAGAATTTTCATGGTTTGAGGATTACGAAACTTTTTTCACGTTTTTTCGACTTTCAATTGTTTTTGTTATTCAACTTAGACTAGTTCTGATACGCAAGTAACGCGGCAGAAGCAGCTCGCAATATCAATGTTGCCTTTGGAGAGGGGTTTACTAATGAACGCACCGTGCGATTTTGGATTAAACGCTTTCGTGATGGAAACTTCGACTTGAAGAACGATTCACGAGGAAGACCGCTCACTCGGGTGAATAACAATGAATAAAGAGAGATGGTGGAAGCCGATCTTAGTCAAACTACCAGCTGCATGGCTTAACGTTAACTTACCCACAATATTGACTCATTTGCGTCAAATCCATAAACTAAAAAAATACAAAAATGGGTGCCTCATGATTTGATTGATCTGCAGAAACAAAAGCGTGTTGAAACTTGTGTTGCCTTGTTAAATTGGTACAGAAATGAATGAATATTGGATCAAATTGTGACATGTGATGAAAAGTGGATTCTTTATGGTAACCGTAAAGGAAAAATGCAATGGCAGACCCCAGGTCAAACACCACGACAGTGACTTAAAGCAAAGTTTACCAATAAAAAGATTATGGTAACTGTTTGGTGGTCTCAGCATGGTGTTATTCACAATAGTTTTCTCCGATCTGGTCAAGAAATAACGGCAGATATCTATTGTGCCAAACTCCGAACAATGTTGGCAAGACTAGCAGTAAAACTGACGTTTTTAAACAATTAAGACTCGCTGGACAAAATATTCTTAATGCGAAGAATAATATTGTTTTTAATTTAAACTTACTTTTTCATTTTAAATGCTTTCTTTTTCTCCGGTTTTGGAGCCTGATGATTATTTTTAAAAGTTAAAACATAACTTTTTACAATATCCACATTGACCGTGGTGTTTTCTGGATACATCCTTTTCTTCCAGGCTTCTCTTTCCTCAAGCCACATTCGTTGATACTCGTACGATAACAACCATCCTATACGGGATTTACCTTCCTAAATAATAAGAACTTTATTATAACACCTATCTAAAGAATTTCTCGTGATGGCGGCAGCTAACTTCGTCCTGCCTGCCGTATCAATGATATGATTATGGCTCCCTAGCTCAGATTTAAGGGGAGCAAGCAGATACAACACAGAGTGCTGTACTTGGTGTTTATCTACTGTAAAGAACCACAAGAGAAGAAACATTACTGACATTGCTCATAAGAGTGAAGAAGAATCGAAAACTTGAAGTGGTAGTTGGGCAGCTCACATAAACCTTTATACTTAGTATTAGACTTTCGTGTGTTAATTCCTCTCTGTTGCTTCCGTGGATTCATACCTAAGCTCGATCGCTGAATAGTTAGCACGCCTGGTCTGCGATACGGTTAACTTTCGCAAGGCTCTTGCGTAGTCTTAAGTCAAGGTCATAGAATGGGTGGCCAAGAATTTATTATATCGATCTCCTCCGTGCTTGGGAAGGCAAGTTAAGTTGTTGGTCCGGGCTGCATGTAGTCTTTAACACCCACTAATCCTTACTGGGTCATGGCCTATTTTCACTTAGCCTTTAAATGTAATGTTCCCACTATTGAGTGGGAACATTAATAGGTTGGTGAAAAAATTAAGATAAGGTAGGTACTTACCATAAATTTCCAAGGTTGTGGGTTGTATTTTGGAAAATCCGAAGAAATAATGTTATGAATAGGTCTGCAAGAAGTCGATTTCTCCCACTTCATTCCGCCCATGCGACCCATTTTAAAATATTTAAAAATAATCTACAAAAGCAAAAATCATCGAAAAGAACCTAATAGAATTTAGTCATTACGAGAACCAGAATTTTATCTGACAATTGACAACTATTTTAAAATAGGTACATATCATATATTCAAAAAGGTTGTATTTTACTTAGAATACTATAAGTACATGAAAGCAAATTCAAATTGTGCACCGTCAATGTTACGCATTACCGCCTACCGAATTCGATCAGCTTAGGCGCCATCTCCACGAGCAAGAGAATCGCGGCGATATTATCGTCGCGCCATGTATTTCTATTCTCTCTATGAACGCATATGCCGATGTTATGGCCTCCGCCTCGAGAACACTTTCAAACAACGCATCGTCATGGAAATGTGATTTCGACGAGTCGTTACGGACACGCTGCGATTTAGTCACAAATCGTGAAGACACATTGGCGGAATAATTACTCGTTCGTAGAAATGACCGACGATAGAAGCACGAAATCATCGCGGTTCTATCGCTCGTGGAGATGTCGCCTTATAATTAGCAAAGGACATTGCTCAACGTCCATACATTGGTGACCCCAGAGCCAAAAAAATATAGGAAAATACTTATTTTATTGTGTGTCACTAATTCTCATTATGTATTTATTATACCGCGACCCAGTTTTAGAACTTATTATCACGCAAAATAAAATTCATTTTGAGGTTATAATTTGTTTGGAAAACCACCAAGAGATAACATAAGCAAAAAAACTTTAAGAAAGTCGCTTTTAGTAAATTTAAGTTTATTTTCGGTCAATTTAATTTAATGTTTTTGTATGATGATTTAAAGGTTATCTAATAAAAATAAACGATCTTCCTGATCTGACGTGTAAATTACATCCATCTGACTTAATAGAATTTAAGTATATTGAATGTGAATATTTGCGAATAAAAATGTTACTGTTAAATTACTTTTAAATATTTATTTTGGATCGCAGCTTGTCCGTTTCAAATAAATATTTGATTCAATTTTAATAAATAAATTAGTAATTATTATTGAAGTATTAATATTTAATGGTATTGGGGCCATTTTCGGCGCGATGTCCTTTTCTGGTGGTAAATCATAGCAAACACTCGCACCCAAACTCAATATTCAGATTTTATACATTTTCGTCAGATTTTAAACATTTCAATAGAATCATTTGTGTAGCAAATTTATTCCACTTCATGGAACCCTTAGTGGTGGATACAAGCAGGATGGTCTCAAAGTTTTGCTAAATAATATCAAAAATTACTTGATATTTAAAAAAAAATAGCTTCTAATGTAGAGCCATGTACTCAGTACCTGCACATTATAAACCACAACAGGATAGAAACTTTGCTAATTGTCCCCCATCTCGTAACGGTCTGTTAAATAAGGAACAAGTGGTCAGTTGCACTATCATTCATTAAGGTTTAATGACGCCTTTAAGCTCTAATTAATCTAAGTTTGTGAACTGACTGTAGATGGACAAGAATTTATTTCCATTACTTTCATGGAATATTAAAAGTTGGCCGCTTAACTGATGTATTTTTATTAAAACTTTCAAAAGATTAACTATTTAAACATTTTTTCAAAACTATTTTTTGCTTCAGTCTATTTTATATTGGAAATACAGCTTACGTGCTTTTTACTGTTAATCTTTAAAAAACTAAGAGCTATATGGAATCTGTTTTTAAATTAAACATAAATGTGATTTTTTTATGTTTTATTTGATACACAAGCAGCAGTAAAATGTCGTATCTCACTTCCAACTGTGTACCTGTAAACAAAGAGAAATATAATTTTAGTAATATAAAATAAACTTTCAAGTTTATAACTTCAAATGTGAAGGACTCCCATACAAACTTTCAATCACTATTTTACCCTTTAAGGCGGCTTAATTTCCATTAACCTAACCTTAATGGGTGTCTACACTACAATAGAACTCTACATAAGATCACAGGTTGAACTTCAATAGCTTACTCTTGGCAAAGATGAATGAACCAGATAATGAAAAGTTAATTTGTATAAAGAACAATGGTGAAAATAAGCTAGGAAAAAAAGTTCTTGTTACTAAGATGGAACTATCACCAAAATGTACAAGTTGAATGTGTTATTATAATATGCCAACAAATCATTTTTAAAAGCTGGGAACAAAAATAACGCAGTTTACATTATATTGTTTTTGAACACATCTGTAATTAATAATAACGGTATTCCTAGAGAAGTCCATCTCTTTTCAAAGAACAAGATTGATTTTATTTCTGACTAATCAAATTTGATACAAATCTCATATTGTTTATTAACCGTATAATATAAATGCATGAAAATTAAAAAACTTAAGATTATCAATATAATTAGATGTTACTTAGAGGAATAGTTTATTTATAATGAAATTAAAACGAATAATTATTAATCGATCGCGACCTAGTTATTTTTAGACAAGCATATGTAGTCGTGTTTCTGTGCAGACGGCTTTGTAACTTTGGCGGCTAATTGTATTATGAGGAGCATACTAGGGTCAATGGGCAGTATAGAATTGAGATCTGTAGAGAAATACCGGATTCTCTGGATTTATTAGAATTAGACTATAATAAATTTAATTTATAAAGGGTAGAATTAAGTTGAGACATTGGGAGGAAACAATATTATGTGTACATTTTAAGTAATAATGACACATCCGGGTCAGATGGCATAAGAGAATACTGCTGTAATTGTCTTGTTGGTTGATGCACACTAGGATGATGTGCTCTTATAATGACCATAGTTTGGTATCTTGGATGGGCCAGACAGGAACAGAATGTAGCTGCTTCTGCAGCATTCCTTGATGATGTATTCATTAGAGAGTTGTAATAAAGAAAAGAAAAATCAACATGTTTTGCTATACCCTTTAGGAATTAGCATTTTCACTTATACTATGTATATGTTATAGTGTAAGATAGAAAGGTAGTATTATTGAGAGCAATCTTATAAAATTCTATTATAATTTTTTTCAAGGTTCATTACATTAGTCATAGGTGCTTATCAGTGAAAAAATACAATTTGCCATAAATCTTCAGACATTTTCCCATCCAGCTTTATAAATAAAGACTATTTTTTATTATTTATTTTGAATTAAGTCCATATTATAGTGAATAAGGAAGCTTACAAGTCAAGAATTGAATAATATATGTTTTATAACCTTAAGTCTAGCTTTCCATTCAATCTCAATGCACCGTAAAAAAACTGCCAACATCTCAGACCAAATAAAAAGTATAGACGGAGTTTTGCCTAACAGAAAAGTGAAGTACGCCTCTGCGTATTCGTACACAGTTTCACGCACACATATATAACGAAACGACGCCTTCCTAATCAGTCTAACTAAAGACAGTGTGCATGAAATGTTTCATTTCATTATAAAAGAAATCAAAAATTTCTTACTAAAAATCAATCCTCAAAAAATAAAAAGCAGGATAGAATCACATTTGACACATAAGTATTTGAGAAAACTTACATTTTCAGTAATTTAAAAATAAAATTTAAGTAATTGCTTCGAACACAAAACCTCAGCCAAATATAACAATCGTTAAATGTTATTATTTACCCCGAAATTTAACAAAACACAAATTACGTTATGTATCTTTTTCTTGTTGTATGGAAATGATATTTAATAAATTTTGGATTCAAAATTCTACATATTTCAGTCATTCGTAATAGTCGAAATGAACCTTCATGGAATCCAATTTCGCGCAGCGTAGTTTGTTCAACTCATTTTAAGAGCATTGATATGTATTATACTATAAAAGGGTTACGTCGAATAAAGCAAAACTTATATCCAAAGGTTTCAAACTTTCTATATATAAAAATTTTAGTTTACATAGTGGATGTTTTCAAACTTAACTTAAAAATTAATTAGTCTCTTTAATGTATGGCCTCCAATAATAATGACCTACTTTTAAAGATTTTAGAACATCTACGCTGATATTGACAAACGAATTTACATTAAATTATTAAATAGCATAGCGTTAACGTTAACTCTATAACGTCGTTACGTTAAGTTATTGGGGTGTTTTTAATGACTATGGTCACACTGGCACGCACACTACAATTGCTAAAAATCGGCTTCACTTTGTTATTCAGCGAACTCCTTTACTTTTTATTTGGTCTGAGACCAACATCCCATAATGAGCAAGACACAAAATGCTGTATTAAAAATTAACAGCATTTCAATTAACCCTATGTATTGCATTGTAAAATAAATTACTATACTTATGAATTAATCAAAAACAAAACAATTGAAAGCAATGTGGTACTAAAAGTCAAATCAAAGCAAGATTTGCAATTATAAATTTATCAAAAATGACTTAAAAACTAGTATTTTAATTTCCACATTATAGTCAATTATACAGATGTAAACACATAACATTGTCTGTCTTGATAAGTCCTTATGATGCATTCGGGACCACAAGGGTGGAGAAGACATTATAATATTTCCTCTGTTTCTTTTCATTGATCCATCGAAAGGAAAAACGACTGCCACAGAGGATAAGCATTCGGTAGTAGTAAGTAGTTGCAGAGGTTTAGAAGCTTTCATAAGGGCCGGAAGAGTGATTTACTATCACAAATTCCCACGTGCTTCAGTAAGGTAAAAGGCTTTACATAGCTGTACCAATGCTCAGGTTACATATGTAGTCATTAACTCTCATCTAACTGCAAAAAGGGCCCGCGTGGTAGACCGTTCCCTGAAGGGAAGGAGAGCGGATACAATAATTGTTTGCTCATGATAGTTTTCAATTTTTAGAAGACCAAAGAGAGATAGTGTAACGTAAAGTTGGTGTATCAAAATACATAGTTCATTGATGACAACAAGAATTTTAATCAGTTGCGTTCACAAACATGAGGTAAGACATTACATAGAAAACATAACCTAAAACTTTCAAATGCTGCACTTACCGTTTATTTAGACCTCGCACGCATCTTCCTCCTTTTACGCTTTAGCCTTCGCATACGCTTCTTACGCCACTGTAATTGAAAAAGAAGTCAATGAATATCTTGTCGAGACAAAGTTAGTAGAAACATTGCACAAACAGCAGAATGAAATGAATGAAAATACCTTAGCTCTCATGTTCTTAAATATAAAACACTAGTTAATTTATAAAATGAGGAGTTGTCTTTAATGCGATTACAGATAAAATCGACGATTTAATAAATAGAAGGTTGCTTGCGCGATCGCCGCTCAAAATGAAAGGAAGAAAACCACAGAGC